GGCGGGCAGGGGCGCACGGTGTGAGCGGCGCAGGCGCGGGCGGGGATGCGCGGGCCCTGCGACACCGTGCCGTGCCGTGCCGTGCCGTGGGCATGCAGCCGGAAAGCGGCGCCGCGCGTCGCGCCGCCCGCGCCCCGAGCGGCGGTTCCACGCGCTGCACACGCTGGCGACGCAGCCCCCCCCAGGCCCCAGGTGGCAAGGGCAGCAAGGGCGGCTGGCTCACGCCGGCGGCGTCCTCATCCACCACGAGCAGTGTCGGTCGGAGGCGTTGTTGGGGCGGGACATGGGGGCGCGGGGGCTGTAGAAAGTGCTGAAGATGGTGGTGGCGGAGTAGTCGCCCCCCATGACGGAGTCGGGGGAGAAGGCATAGTCGGGCTCAAACAGGTAGGGCAGGTCCAGCAGGGGGCGGGCCTGCATGTGTGTGTGGTGGGGGGAGGGCTGGAGGCTGGAGGCTGGGAGTGTGTGTGTGCGTGCGTGCGCGTGTGGGTGTGCATGGCCCGCAGCACACACACATGTGTGTGTGAGGAGCAGCGGGCCGAGGACGCGGCGACGGCAGGGTGTGCAGGGCGCTGCGGGGCCGCCTGACCCTGGGCGGGCCTGCATGCGCCCCACCTTGGAGAAGACAAAGTTGGGGGGGGCGTCGTCGGGCTGGGAGCAAGTAGCGCTCCTCCACAGGCCGGGCGGCGGCGGGCTGCGGCAGGCGGTGGACGGCGGCGGGGCACGCATGTGTGATGGTCTGGGTGGGCCAGCGCCCCGCTCCCACCGTGCGCTTGGTCGGGCAAGGGTGGAAATGCAGGAGGCTACAAGCAGCAGGCTGGCGAGGGATCGCGACAGGCGAGCTGCGGCATGCCGACACGCGGCACACGGCAAGGGCTGCAAAGCCGGACGCCCCGCTGCCGGCAGGCTGCGCCACTCACGGCGTCGGCGGCGCGGGGGGCTGGGGCGGCGCGGGCGGGCGCGGCGGCGACGGCCTGGGCGGCCGGGGCGGGCGCGGCGCGGGCGGCGGCTTGGGCGGGCTTGGCGGCGGGAAGTTGGCTGGCGTGGTGAACTGGATGTCTTGTACGCTCGGGTCGCCATCCCCAACATCATTCTTGGCAAACGCATAAAACAGGTAGGTGCGCAGCGGCGGGAAGGTGCCTGCCGCAAAGGTGACCCGCACCTGCACACGGCAGCGGCGGGGGTGGCGGGGCGCAAGGAAACGGTCAGCGGTGCGCGTCTGGCCGCATGTGTGATACAAACAACACTTGCACGCATGCGTGGGCATCGGCCGATAAATGCTGCTGGTGTGGTTGGAATGGCTGCTGCTGCTGCTGCGGCGGCTGCCTCTGCCTCACCCGGCCGCCGCTGGATGGCAGGCCGGGGCTCCTGAGGGACAGGTTGCCCTTGGTGGGGTCTGCAGCATCGCCCAGCACTCGGTAGGAGATGCCTGCAGGCAGCGCGCAGGCAGAGGGCGGCTGGGCCGGAGGTTGGGGCAGCGCTCGGCACAGGGCCACCATGCCGGCAGGATGGCAGATGATGGGGAGACGAGAGGCTCAAAGCAACCTGCTCAAAGCAAACTGAAGAAGAAGAAAAGCGCAGCACAGGATGGGGCAGGGTGGGGCACACTCACTGCCGGGGCCGCCGACAAAGATGGGCGGCACGATCCAGACGCTGAAGGAGCCGTTTCGGTTGATGGTGATGTCGACGACCGAGGGGGCTGCAGGCTTGGACCTGCAGCAGCCACACGGGGGCGGGCAGAGGGGTGTGTGAGGGCACATATGTACACATATCCTGGGCAGGGGGCTGGGGACGCGGCCGTGCGGCGCTGTGCGGCGCTGTGGCGCGCTGCGGCGTGGGGGGGAGCTGCCCTGCCCTGCCCCTCCTGCCCTGCCCGCCCCTCAATCGTCACCTGGGCGTCTGGAAGGGGAGCGCCGCGCCGGCCGGCCCCCTGCCCATCACATTCTCGGCCGCCGCCGTCAGGTTGTACAGCTGCGCGCTCCTAAAGGTGCCGGGGGCAAAGGTGAACCGCACCTGCACCCGCACAGGCGCAGCCACGGCTGCCGGTCAGCAAACCATGAGCACGTCACTGCAACCAGCCACCGGCAGCACAGCACTGCTGGCGGGCGTCAAGGGGAGCCCACCTGCCCCGGCCGGAGCCGGGTGGGCTCTCCCGTGCCGTTGACCCTGATCGTGGGGCCGCCGCCGATGGGCAGGCCCGTGACAAAATAGCGGATGATGTCTGCGGACAAACAGCACAGCGGCAGCGTCAAGCCTGGCGCGCTTCCCGGCCCGGGGCAGGTGGGGCATGACGCCCCGCCAGCTGGCCCAGGCCGCTTTCCCAACAAGCACGGGCGCGCTCTGCTTGGGCTGCCCAGGCAGGGTGCCACCAGCAGGTGGGCGCAGGCGCAGGTGCTCACCGCCGGGGCCTCCCACAACGGTGGGCGGGTCCACTGTGACATGCAGCTGGTCGCCGAGGGCCACCCTCTCCACACGGGCCGACCTGACGGTAGGGGCGCCTGGCCTGATGCTGCAGGCAGGATGCCAGTAGGAGGCCGGTCAGCCAATCAGAGAGCGGGGCTGCTGCGCAGGCGCCCTCAACGCAAGCGAAAGAAGAAGGCTGGGCAGCCCGCCGGCCGGCGCGCGGCGTGCCTGGGCGTGAGCAAGAAGCGGGGAGGGGTGCTGCGGGGCCCGGTGCCCACACGGTTGGTGGCGCGCACTGTGATAGAGTAGTTGCGCCCGCTCAGGAACTTGCCAGGCGCAAAGTCAAACCGAGGCTGCAGACCGGCCGGCAGCGCGGGCACAGGGGAAGGCTCAGCAGCAGGAACCAAAGGGTCGGAGCAAAAGGCGGCGCTTGGGCACGCGCGTGCGGCACGTCACAACGCGCTGGCGCACGCCGCCTGTACCTGGCTAGTGGTGGTGTTGCCTTTTCCAGTTGCTTCAATGGTGCTCAGTGGTACGGAGGAGGAGATGCCTACCGCGACACCCCTCACGGTATACGAAGTGATGCCTGCAGGGTTGTGTGTGTGTGCGTGTGTGTGCGGTCAACGGCGGCACGGCTGGGCTGAGGTAGTGCAGCAATGAAGGATCAAGGCACTACTGCGGCGGCAGATACAAATGCAGGCTTGTGCCTTGGCCAGTTAAGGCAGCCAGTCAGCCTACCTCCGGGGTCTCCCACGATCTGCGGAGGCACCACCCACACGCTCAGCACGCCATTCCTGACAGCTGCCATGGGAACAGCGGCTGGCCCCGGCGCCATCCTGCAGGCGGGACAGGCAGCCGAGGCGCAGGCGGCCAGATGGGCGCGCAGCCTTGCTGCGTTGCTGCGCTTGCCGCCAGGCAAGCGCAGCGGCATGCGGCTGGACCAGGAGGCGGGGGGCGGGAGGCGGGAGGCATATAAGGCGGGGCACCCGGCAGGAGAGAGGCCAGGAGGCAGAGGGCGGGTGCGCGCCTGGGCGTGCGGAACTGGTACGG